CGGTCCCCCACGGAAAACCCCACACAAAAATAATTCCTGTTTTTTTCGGGGGGTTTAATTTCCCTGAAAAGTGTCCCCCCCCCCGGGCAAATTTAGAATAGGTAGCTAATTGTTCATTCGATCAATTTTCGAGGTGGTCACAGAACAACTAAATGCTGTGACCAGAACAGCAATTCAACAAACTGTAAAACCCAAACTTAATTCATGGGGACTCCACACCCATCCTATCCCAGGGCCTGGGTGAACAAGCAAATGTTTAATCATTTCCCGAGCCACACGAATGGCCGGGGGGGGGGGGGGGGGTTTCAAAAGACAGGCAGGCACCCCAACAGCCCCAACCCCTAGGCTCAGCTTAACAAAGCACAGTTGCTGTATGCTCGTAATGTGCTGTGCCTAAATTATTAAACCAGAAGATGCTTTAAGGCAATGCCTGGTTCACACAACGTGCTAACATGTTGGCTAACTGCCCCCAATACACTGAAGACTACCAATGCAGGCTAGAAATACACGAGAGAGAGACAGAATTTGAACTCTGTGCCATCCTTCGCTTGTTGTCTGGATTGTTAAAGCTCAGATCTGGCTTAGCCTTGTCTATTTGAAGCCAATTGTTCAGAGAATGAACTTTTAACTGCTTTTCCTGGGGGATTAAAGAGTATTAGCAAATCCACAGTATAGATTTTCTACTATATACACGTCAGTATCTCTCATATATATGTAGCAGAAACCCGACATCGTGGATTTGCTAACACACATTGGTGTGTTCTTCTATTAAGGAAAATCCTGATCATTCAATATCTTCTCCATAAGGTGCTAATCCTGGATTAAATTTAGGATTAACACCTATAGACCTATTGATGTCTCCTCTAGGGCAACTCCATGTGTCCCACTTCTTTTGTGGCCCCTGTGTGAAAATGAGACATTTGGCTCATGCTTTTGACAGTAGTTGTCACAGGCAGATACAAAATAACCAGTCCACAGTCTCATATCCTGAAGATGTGCCTGGGCTTCAACTTCCAGAAATCTTAGCCATGCAAATGTGATGAGGAGTTCTAGGAATTACAGTCCCACCACATTTGGAGGGCACCAAAAGGAAGAAGTCTGGCTTATTCTTAAAAAATACACCGTAGATTTTAGTTCCTTTAGCTATCACTGTCATTTTTTTCTTTCTTCTTTGATAAGGGACTGTTCATTAGTTTTCAGGACCATTACCCCACCTTTCTAACAAATATTTAAGTAGATGGTGGTGGTTCTTCACTTCTCTATTGTGTTTGTCACCATTATTATGGATAAATATTTTGAAAGAGAGTAAATCTATAAGATTATTTTGAGGATCAGGCATATATTGATTAGCTAAGATTCTTCTGAGGATATAACTGTTGTTTGGCCACAATGGGTATTTTGACTGA